AGGGAAATCAGTTCCCACCAGGGCTGGGGCAGTTGTGGAAGGGGTCCAGGGCTGGAGGTGTAAGGCCCCTTCCTGCCCAGCCCCTGTGGAACGTGGGTGTCCCACACCTGGCATGGCACCAGTCACTCTGCACACGTCCTCCCTGTGCCCTTCGAGGCATCCCCTTGGGGCGAGGGGAGCTCGGAACCGCTCATTTTCCTGCTGACAGGAGAGGTGTGCCGTCCTTGGAAGGCAGAGGCAGACGGTGCAGGCGGTTTTTTTTTTTTTTTTTTTTTTTTTGAGACTGAGTCTCTGTCGCCCAGGCTGGAGTGCAGTGGCGCTATCTTGGCTCACTGCAAGCTCTGCCTCCTGGGTTCCCGCCATTCTCCTGCCTCAGCCTCCCGAGTAGCTGGGACTAGAGGTGCCCGCCACCTCGCCCAGCTAATTTTTTGTATTTTTAGTACAGACGGGGTTTCACCGTGTTAGCCAGGATGTTCTCGATCTCCTGACCTCGTGATCCGCCCGCCTCACCCTCCCAGAGTGCTGGGATTACAGGCAGGAGCCACCGCGCCCAGCCCCAGTTTGGGTTTTAAATGACAGTTTTCTCTGTTGCGCCAGCACCTCCCCTAAGTTCAGGGACCTTCACCCACCAGCCTGGGCATTTAGCCTGGAATGCAACTTGCGGGGTTGCTTGGTGCTTGAGGCCAGGATATGCTCTGAGCTGGCGATGGCCATCTCTTCTTCTGGGGCCTCTTGTTTCCCTCTGACCTTCTGCCCTCATCACCTGGTGATCTGGACCCAGGGCCATATCCCTTCTCTGCCCAATTCTTGGGGCAGTGACCATGTCAGGCCATGTGTGGTGCCCTGTCTGCCCCTCCACAAAACCTGGGAACTGTGGGAGGACATGGGGACAGCCCAGGGCCAGGCTGGGGTTCCTATGTGCTCCTCGAGAATGCCCCTCAGTTCCGCACGGCCTTGTCTGAACTGGTCTGTACCTGGTGTGCGTGTCCTTGTGCCCGACGGTCTGGAGGGAGCACTGAGGGAGCCGTTGCCTCCAGGCCTCTCCCGTGCTCCAGGATGTCACGAGGGACACCTCTCCAAAGATGCGTGGGTGGGGGTGCTGAGTTAGCAGTCAGCACCCTCAAGAGCCCGCCCCCCAGCTGCTGGTGCATCCCGTAGCAGGGCCAGGTCCCCCAGGAAGTGGGGGCATCTCTGTAGAGTTGGCAGACCCTGCCCACCCTGGGGCTGTGGCCGAAGCCCGGTGCTCCAGTGAGGACAGATTCTCTTAATTAGGGATGTCCCCGGCACTTGTGCCACGGAGCTGGCCTCTGGTCCTGCACACTCCAGACACATCCACCCTGGCTCACACACCCCGCTCACAAGCACCCCGGTTTCCATGCACCCCAGGCTCCCACGCACCCTGCTCACACGCACCCTGGTTCCCACACACCCCACGTTCCTGCGCACCCCGGCTCACATGCACCCCAGGCTCCGACGCATCCTGGCCAACAAGCATCCTGGCCCACATGCATCCCCGCTCACACGCACTCCGGCTCAGATGTACCCATGCTCACACACACCCCGGCTCACCCCCCCGGCTCACACACATCTCTGGGGTCACATGCACCCCAGCTTACACGCACCCCGGCTCACACCCATCCCGACTCACCCCTGCTCACACGCACCACCAGCTCACACCCATCCCGACTCACACCCATCCCGACTCTCACACACCCCTGCTCACACGCACCCCGACTCACACCCATCCCGACTCTCACACACCCCTGCTCACACGCACCCTGACTCACACCCGTCCCGACTCACACACACCCCGGCTCACACGCACCCCCGGCTCACACGCTCCCTGGCCCCCATGTACCTCGGCTCACACACACCCCGGCTCTCACACACCCCAGCTCACACGCACCCCGGCTCACAGGCATCCTGGCCCACACACCCCGGCTCACACGCACCCCCAGCTCACACACACCCCGGCTTACACGCACCCCCGGCTCACACGTTCCCTGGCCCCCATGTACCTCGGCTCACATGCACCCCAGCTCACACGTGCCCCGGCTCACACGCTCCCTGGCCCCCATGCACCTCAGCTCACACGCACCCCAGCTCACATGCACCCCTGCTAACACACACCCCCTCTCACAGGCACCCTGGCTCACACATGCCTCAGGCTCATGCATCCCTCCCCTGGTGCATCTCTGGGCAGCCCTCTGCCAAGCTGTGCTGGCTGCCACCCCCAAGCCTTTTCCTGGTCTCCTGGGAAGCCTCCCCTATCCCCCTAAGCTGCTTCTGGGGCTGGGTTTACTCAGAAGCAACACCCAGGCCGGGTGCTGTGCCCAGGTCTCCTTTTTTTTTTTTTTTTTGAGACGGAGTCTCGCTCTGTCACCCAGGCTGGAGTGCGGTGGCCGGATCTCAGCTCACTGCAAGCTCCGCCTCCCGGGTTCACGCCATTCTCCTGCCTCAGCCTCCCGAGTAGCTGGGACTATAGGCGCCCGCCACCTCGCCCGGCTAGTTTTTTGTATTTTTTAGTAGAGACGGGGTTTCACCGTGTTAGCCAGGATGGTCTCGATCTCCTGACCTCGTGATCCGCCCGTCTCGGCCTCCCAAAGTGCTGGGATTACAGGCGTGAGCCACCGTGCCCGGCCCCAGGTCTCCTATTGGCTCCTTAGCAGTACCCCTGGAGCCATGAGGGGCTGTGTGGTCAGAGTTAGCCCTTGCCTTGGTACTCCGAATCCTGGGGCCCAGAGCACAGGGGTGACCCCTCTTCCTGCACCCGGTCTGTCCAGCTCCCCTGCACCCCTGCGCCCCGTGCCTGGCCTGCTGGGGAGGGGCTCTGGGCTTGGGTGTTAGAGCTCAGCAGGCACCAGGAGCCAGTGGCTCGGCAGAGCTTCCCAGGACAGGCCCTGCGCCGGCAGCCTCCGGACAGCCTTCTGTTGTGAACGTTAAGCAGAGATGCTGCCTCTGGAAGGCCGGGGGACAGAGCCTGCATTCTCCCCAGGACGGCCTGAGCATGTGTGGGACTCGTGGGCCCCAGCAGGGGGGATTCTGCTCTGAGGGGATTTCACCCTGTGGAGTCCAGAGGGACCCAAGACACCAGTGAGAGGCCTTGCCTGAACCTCTGGGCACCAAGTGACCACGCCAGCCTTGGGCAGGGAGCCGCGTCCCATCTCCCCAGCACGGGCTCCTGCCTGCCTGCCAGCCAGTGAAAGGGTGGCGGCCTCCAACCTGCAGCCTGGCCTGGCTGATGCACTGCTCAGGGAGGGGCAGGGGAGCGTGCACACGAGGAGGGGGCATCTCCCACCCCCAGGTCCCCTGAGGCAAGAGTCTTGGGGCCCATGGGGCCTGCGGGAGCCCTGCCAGGGTGGAGGCCCCAGGCCTGTCTTGAGCTGAGCTGGTGTGGCGGGTGGGGGTGGGGTGGCTGCTGGTGGCCAGCAGCTCATCTCCCAGCCTTGGTTTGTATCTGGAAAGTGGGGTGTGAGTCTGGCCACTGGGGCTTTGGAGGCTTTTATGGGGTGACTTGGGGCTTCTGGTAGCCCCCAGGGAACCCCCAGAGCCTGTGGTCTGGGTGCTCCGAGGGGCTCCATCGGGTGGAGGGGTGGCTTTGCCAGCCTACTCCCAAGTCCCGTCCAGTCGGGTGGGGCAGGGATCCCCCAGGGCTGCCCGCCACCCGCCTGGGTGCCCACGCTGCGGACCAGGAGCTGGTCAGCATTTCCCGGCGACTGCTTACCCCATGCCCAGGTCTGGAACGTATCTTCCGTCTCCTCCTGAAACGGCCCAAGCCCGAGGCCTCAGCGTCTGAGGGTGGGGGTCCTGTCGGACCCCTGCTTCCCTTGAGACCTTGCTGGGCTGGCAGCCTAGCACCCTCTCTCCGGGTGCAGGACCCCCTCGTCTCCCCCGCCTCTTCCTGTTTTAATTGATTTTTATAAGAACAAGCACTTAGGAAACACAGTAAGAGCTCCAGCGGTTACAGAGGCTGCGGGAGGTGCTCCTGGGGGACCCGCCTTCTCCGTTCCCGCCAGTGCCTGTAAGAAATCATAACTTGGCTGGGCACGGTGGCGCACACCTATAATCTCAGCACTTTGGGAGGCCAAGGTGGGTGGATCATGAGGTCAGGAGATTAACATCAAGACCATCCTGGCTAACATGGTGAAACCCTGTCTCTACTAAAAATACAAAAAAGTAGCCAGGTGTGGTGGTACATGCCTGTAGTCCCAGCTACTTGGGAGGCTGAGGCAGGAGAATCACTTGAACCTGGGAGGCGGAGGAGGTTGCAGTGAACTGAGATGGCGCCACTGCACTCCAGCCTGGGCAACAGAGTGAGACTCCATGTCCAAAAAGAGAGAAAGGAAAGAAAGAAAAGGAAGGAAGGGACGGAGGGGGGCGGAGAGGGGAGAAGGGAAGAAGGAGGGGAGAGGGGAGAGAGACAAAGTGTGAGGGAATCAGCATTTCTCCTGCTACGAGTGACGGGACAGCCGGGGACATCACAGAGACCTTCTTGGGAAGTGGGCACCGGAATCCTGAGGCTGCCTGCCAGGAAGCCCCATCCCGGAGTGAGGGCCGGGCTGGGTCTCCCTGACAGCAGTCTGGAAAGGCTGGAGTGGCCTGTCAGGTGGGGAGTGGGCTTCTGTGCTGGGCAGACCAGAGGGCGAAGTGGGGTTGGGGGTGTGCAGGCTGCGTCCTGGGGCCTAAGATCCCGCCCCTCTGGCTCCAGGCCGGGGGGTGGGCAGATCCCCCCTAGAGGGAGGTTCAGGGGCACGAGGGAGCCCCCACCACCGTGGCCAGGGATTGTGGGTTTGGGGATGGGGTGCCAACCCGGGGTGTCGGGAAAAGACTGGCCTGCCCTGGACACCCCCCAGGGCTGCCGTGGGATTTAGCAGGACTCCGGGTGGTTCTGGCTCAGGCCGGCAGGCGGTGTGGCCTTGGCTTGCGGGCCAGGCTCTGCCCTGGGGTCCAGAGCTTGTGTTGGGGCCTCACCCTGTCTCTCTCATGTTGCTGTGCCCCAGCTGGGGGGCTGTGGCGTGCTGGGCGTCGGCATCTGGCTGGCCGCCACCCAGGGGAGCTTCGCCACGCTGTCCTCCTCCTTCCCGTCCCTGTCGGCTGCCAACCTGCTCATCATCACCGGTGCCTTTGTCATGGCCATCGGCTTCGTGGGCTGCCTGGGCGCCATCAAGGAGAACAAGTGCCTCCTGCTCGCTGTGAGTGCCGGGGCCCAGGCATGCTCTGGGTGGGACCACGCAGGGTGGGGCTCTGGTGGTCCCCAGGCCTTGGCTGCTGCAGTGACCCCCAGACGCGGGCCCCACCTCTAGGGCCTGACCTCCAGGTTGGGAGTGTGGCCACTGTTGGGTCTTCTGGGCTGCACTGGGGCTGGGGCTGATTTGTGGAGTGGGGGCGGGGGTCACTCGAGAACATGCTGTAGCTTGTCAGGAGCCTCCCTTGACGGGACACTGGCCCTGGTGAGCACAGGCACAGCCCCATACACGTGTGCACAGGCATGCACAGCCTTTCATGGGCTTGCGGTCTCCATGACTCATTCCTGACCACCCCACCCCCACTGTGGCCCCTTCCCCAGCTCCTTGTCCGGGGCCGGGTCTCTCAGCTCCCTGGGACCGTCTGCTGGGACCCTCCCAGCCCCCACCTCCCCTCAGGGATGGACTTATAGGCAGGGATGTGTTTATCCTCCTTGGAAATGTTCTCATCACAGATAATTAAAAATGAAAAGGGCTCCTAGATGGAAACACAGGCTTGCTACCGATTAATATGCCTGGCTGAGGCCGTGGGCCTGAAGCGGGTCTGCAGCCTGCTGAGGTCCTAAATCAAGAGGCTTCAGATCACCTCTTTGTCTGAGAAGCCCTGGATGGGGTGGGGCTTCCCTTAGATCGCCTCAGCCAGCCCACTCCCCTCCGTACCTCTTCTTGGCAGTGAGCCCCCCATCTCTCAGCCTCCCGGGCATCCGTTGGGGCCCAGAGCCCCCTGGAGGCAGTAGGTGGGGGTCTGTGGCAGCCCTGCTGGGGCTTGGAGCTCCTCCAACAGTTGAGGAAGCTGCTGTGTGTGGGCCCCGCCACGCCTGCAGGGATAGAAGCCCTACCCCTTTCCCACAGGCGACTGGGACCAGAACCCTGGGTACCTCCTGGGGGTGAGGGGCCCCTGTGTCCTTAGCCCAGCACCCTGTCTGCCCCACTCAGGCCCACTCTGCCTGGGCCCCCCAGTTCCTGGACACACCCTGTCCATGCCTGCCTTCCTCTTGCGGGTGTCAGTGACCTCCGCATGGAGGAGCAGCAGCAGGGCTGGGGTCAGGCTGAGCTTCAGGGCTGCCGCCAGGAGGGGGAAGCTTGCGTGGTCAGAGGTGGGGCTTGCAGCCTGTGGTCTTGCTGGAGGGGGCATCAGCCACCCTGGCTGCCCTGAGGGCTGTGACGTGGGAGTGGAAGGGGCCTCTGCAGCCCAGGTGTGACAGGCACCCCGCGAGGCACCCGCCGGACACTCACAGGCCCCTGGACGGAGGTGTCTGAAGCCAGCTGACAGGGGCTAGAGCCTTGGAACAGGGACTTGTGCCCATTGGGGGTGTCTGGGTTGCCCCAGGGATGGGGGCAGGGGAGGGGAGCCCAGGCCAGCCCAGGGCCCTACATTCAGGGGCTGAGCAGGACACGACAGCCACAGTCCCTGGACCTGGGGCCGAGGCTGAGGGTTCTGAGGTGGTGGTGGCATTCTGGGGTCTCGGATTGGGGGCCTGGCAAAGGTTTCCTGGCAGCACCAGGTATCCATGAGGTGTGTGGCCCTGGCCCCTGGCATGCTATGGGGTGGAGGCCGTGGGGCCTGCCAGGTCCCTGTCTGAGCCTGCCCCCCCCCCACAGTTCTTCCTGCTGCTGCTGCTGGTGTTCCTGCTGGAGGCCACCATTGCCATCCTCTTCTTCGCCTACACGGACAAGGTATGGCTGCCTCGGCCGCAGGCCCAGCTGCAGGGCTGGGGGCACTGTGGGCCTGGTGTGGACAGAGTGGCCCCCATCTGCCCTCCCTGGCGGCCAAGACAGCGGGTGTGGATTTACCAGGCCTGGAGGGGGAGCACCCCCAACCCTGGGAGGCTGTGCTGTGCCTCTGCGGTGACTGGGGCACGAGGGCACTGCTCCACCCGGAGGGCGCGCCCTAGGTCGTCCCCCGACACAGCGTCCCGGGCCGTCTGCTCCCAGCGCCTTGTCCTGGCTGCTCACCCTGGGGTTCTGCTCTGTAGAACGGCCTCTTCTCAGTCACTCGTTTATATATTCAGCCATTTGTTTATATTGGGATGAAGTCACGGCTATTGAGGCTGCACTCTGAGCTAGAACACAACACTGCTTTGTTTTGCGAATCACACTGTCTGTCCTTGGCCCTGGGGAGCTCCTGCCGTCGGCTGCTGGGTTCTCTGATGTGCCCCCATCAACAGACTTTTCATTCTGGGGCACGTCCTGACTTCCTGGCACTGTAGGGGGCTCCAGGCTCCTCCTGTATTCCCTGCCCTGGCCCAGGAATCAGCCCCTTTTCCAGGGTGCCCTGGGTCCTCACTGAATATTGGGGACCGTGGCCGGGGTGCTGGGTGGGCTCGGCGCTCATAGCTCCTGGCTTCCAGCTCACAGAGCACGGCTGGACGTGTCCTGACACGTGGAGTCACCTGTGTCCCTGTCTTCTGTCCCCCCAGGACCCATGGTCCTCCCCCAGCCTGGGGAGGAAGCCCGGAGGTGGGGGCCCTGGGCCTCAGGGCTGCTGGGAGGACATGGGGCCGGTGTGTCTGCAGCTTGGTGGGCTAGGAAGGACAGGAGACACTTCAGGACCAGGCGCAGGAGGGGCCCAGCTTAGGGGCCAGCGAGGGGGTCTGGATGAGGGAGGCAGGGTACAGTGGGAGGGGCCCTGCTGACCCCCCCGCACCCCCAGATTGACAGGTACGCCCAGCAAGACCTGAAGAAAGGCTTGCACCTGTACGGCACGCAGGGCAACGTGGGCCTCACCAACGCCTGGAGCATCATCCAGACTGACGTGAGGCCTGGGCAGGTGGGCGGGGTCAGCGGGTGCCCCCTCCCCTCCCGCCTCAGCCCAACCTGAGCTTGTCCCCCAGTTCCGCTGCTGTGGTGTCTCCAACTACACTGACTGGTTTGAGGTGTACAACGCCACGCGGGTGCCTGACTCCTGCTGCCTGGAGTTCAGTGAGAGCTGCGGGCTGCACGCACCTGGCACCTGGTGGAAGGCGGTGAGACCCCCACCCTGGGGGCTGGCGGGGGCCTAGAGGGTGGGACCGGCAGGCCCTTCCGTGACATGCAGGACATGCCTCCTGCAGCCGTGCTACGAGACGGTGAAGGTGTGGCTCCAGGAGAACCTGCTGGCTGTGGGCGTCTTTGGGCTGTGCACGGCACTGGTGCAGGTATGGCCTGGGGACTGCAGACTCCCTGCTACCCCTTTGCTGGGGCCTTCTGAGCCCAGGGAACAAAGTAGCAAAGGCCTTGCCCCCAGGAACCCATGATCCGGGGAGGCTGGGGCAAAAGCAGGAGGGTGAGTTCGGGGGGATGGGCAGGGACAGCCTGTGGGGACGGTGGGCTCCCTCTTAGTGGACAGAGGCAGAGGCTGGTGTGGGGTGGAGGCCGGCAGCCGTTCGTGCTGGTTGGTGGCCCAGGACTGGCCAGTGCGCAGAGAGTGGCAGCTGGGGTCCTGGTGCCTGTGACCCCTGCTCTCCAAACTCCACAGCCCCCAGGAAGTCCTGGGTGTCCTCATGCTTGCGAGGCTCAGGGGAGGGTGCTATGGCTTGAGCCGTAGGGGTTGGGTGGGGTGTGTGAGCCAGCAGGAAGCTGAAGGGCTCTGCCGCTGTGTCCCCTGCCCCGGGGTCAGGGCCGGGGTCAGGGCCAGGGCCAGGGCCAGGGCCCGCTCTGGGCTTGAGGCCTGAGGCCATGGAGCTGCTATGCCCAGCCCTCCTCCCCTCCCCACAGATCCTAGGCCTGACCTTCGCCATGACCATGTACTGCCAGGTGGTCAAGGCAGACACCTACTGCGCGTAGGCTGCCTGCTTCTCTGCCAAAAGGACGCCCACAGGGAGATGGCCGTGCCCACAGCTGCCTTTCCCACCACCAGCCTCGGTGCTCTGCCCCATGCTGGGAGGAGGGAGGGAGGGACAGGTGCCCGGAGCCCCCGGAACCCTGTTTCTAGAAGGCCCTGGCTCAGGTGGCTTCAGGGCCTCCAAACCCCCCCTGGGAGGGGTGGCCACGTGCTGGCTATGGAACCCAGGGCAGGGGTGGGAGGGGTCTCCAGTACTTTTTATTTTTACATATTCTCCAAAGCAGTGTTCACACGGGTGCCAGCCTGTGGCCCCCAGCCTCCCGGGAAGCGGGTTGGGGCTGCAGGAACAGGGGCTTGGCATCCTGGAAGTGGCCCCACTGGTCCTGGTGCTCCAGGCAGGGCCATGGACCCCTTACCTACATTCCACAGTGGGCCCGTGGGGCTCCTGGTGCATCCTAATAAAGTGTGAGCCGCAGCCCTGCGTCTACTGCTAGTCTGCCTTCCCTACCCCATCTTCCCTTCTGGCACCCAGGCCTGGGGCAGGGCAGCCTCTGGCATGAGGCTTAGGCAGAGCCCTGTGGCTGTGGGGTCACCTGGTGCACAGGCTTGGGGGAGCCGCCTGCAGAGGACTCTCCAGACTTCTGGTTTTAAGGAAATCATGACATTAGCTCTAAGAAGTGGTGATGGGGCCAGACACGGTAGCTCACACCTGTAATCCCTTTGGGAGGCCAAGGCGGGTGGATCACTTGAGGTCAGGAGTTTGAGACCGGCCTGGCCAACATGTTGAAACCCTGTCTCTACTAAAAATACAAAAATTAGCCAGGTTTGGTGGCAGGAGAATCGCTTGATTCTGGGAGACAGTGCAGTGAGTGGAGATCGCACCACTGCACTCCAGCCTGGATGACACAGGAAGACTCCATCTCAAAAGAAAAAAATAGTAATAAAAATATAAAAAAAGTGCCAAGCGCCCTCGGGGGGTGGGGGGGGAGGGGGCGTCCCTGAACTGCCGGCCTGTGCTAGGTGGGCTTCCCTCTGCTTCACCCCCAACCCCAGGGTCTTCCTCCCCAAGTGGGGCTCTCCTGCCCAAAAACGCCCACCCCAGGGCCTCCTCCTGAGGCAGGGCTCCTTCCATATCACCCCCACCCTGGGGCCTCCTGTCGAGGTGGGGCTCCGCTTTTCCCCCGTCTATTTTGTTCCTAGAACTCTGCCCTTTAAGTGAGCTGGCAGCACAAAGCAGTTATCACAGGGCACAGAAAAAACATGCATCAAGGTGCCTGCCACAGGATTCTCACAGCCAGGGTGAGGGTTGTGTGGGGACACTGGCCACAGAGATGACAGTCAGTTCAGGTTGGGGCATCTGATCCCCAAACTACCCCACAATCTCAATTTCCAGCTAATTCCTGCCTCACCCTCTGCCCATCACCCTGGAGACAGAGCCCGCTCTAGGCGTCCTATCCTATGTGGCATCCCCACCCCTGCTTGCACCCAATGCTGATCTGGCAATGCCTAGCTCCAGGCCCACACCACCCTCCCAGGCCTGCGTGTCCCCTGCCCTCACTCTGACGGAAGCCACAGGATCCCTGAGAACGAACTCAAATGTTAGCGTCAGCGCCTCTGGGGACACAAGGTCAGTGCCCCAAAGCCAGTGGCAGCTTTTGTTTTTTTTTAGAGAAGGTTTTTGGAGTGTAGTTGATCACAGCTCACTGCAGCCTCAACCTCATCAAGTGCTCCTCCCACCTCAGCCTCCTGAGTAGCTACGAGTACAGGCCCATGCCACCACGTCTTGCTAACTTGTATTTTTAGGGGGTAGAGACGGGGTTTCACCATGTTGTCCAGCATTCCTCCCGCCACGGCTTTCCAAAGTACTGGGATTACAGGCATGAGCCACTGCACACACCACCTGTATCTCCTACACCCATGTCAAGCAGCAGCAAAGCAGTGGGAAGGGCTGCACCTGCAGTGTGGCGGCTCACAGGCCTCCCTGACATCCAGGCCTTTCTTAGGCGTGGGTGCCTTGGGCCAACCCAGGACCCCCTCCCCAGCTTCTGTCCTGTGGAGGAGACCCCACCATGCTTCTTACCACCGGCTGGAGATGTCCTGACCCCCCTGCCCACCACACCCTGATGTTACTGACTCTGAACCAGAACCAGTGCCCACCCTGGCCTCACCGTCCCTCACCCCACGGCATTCTCAGGCACGCCCAGGCCCATCCACTCCCTGGACTCACTTCTGTCCCCCCAAGAGACCCTGCCTGGGACGTGTACCCACCTATGCCCTCCGCTGCCCACCTCAGCCCTGTGGGTCCCAATGGTGAGGAGAGGAGTTCTCACGGCCAGCCAAGGACAGGATGGCGATGAGGGGCACGGGAATGAAGGCCGCCAGGCCTTGGCTCATGCCTCCAAATTCCCCAGGGCCTCCCCAGAGCCTGGACACCGCTGCATTGCGGGGTGGGTGCAGACTGCCAGCCACGTGTCCTCTGCCCCACCCCTCACTGGAAATGCCCTTCCCGATGTGGCCCACGGGTCCTGCCGTTGCCCCTCACCATGCTCCCTGATGTGGCCAGGCTGGCCTGGGGTCACGCTACCTGAGGCGGCAGAGCTGAGCCAAGGTCCAGGGCCAGTTTCAAGAGGGTGGGCCAGGTTCCTCTGTGCCCATTTCCAGGGCAGCCCCTGCACCCTTGCCGTGCTGGACTCGGTGGGGACGTCTGGGTGGCTCTCTGCAGATGTCACACATGCTGTGGCTGGCGAGGTGGGTGGTGACGTGGGCGTGCAGCTCTCAGCTCTGTCACTGCCAAGCCCTGGGGTGATGCTGGGCAGAGCTGTCCCTGCCAGGGCCCTCAAGTCCGGGAGTGGGCGAGTCTGGGATGGTTCCAGAGCTTCCAAACCCACATCTGGCCCAGGATGTGAGAAGCAGCCCAGAGAGGCCTGAGCCAGGCTGTCCTGGTGGGGCAGGTACTGTGGGTCCTGCCTGCCCAGCCGACAGGAGGCAGCCAGCAGATGCCCGGGTGGGAGGGGCTTGAGCTCTCGGGTGCCCCCCAGCCAGGACTCATCCCAGGGCAGGGACCCCTCATGAGAGGGTGGGGAGTCACACGGTGCCCAGGACCCCCGACTGAGGACTGCAGCAGACCCGTCACAGCAAACGGAGTGGAGGCCTGTATTTCACACCTGCTCACTCACTCCATGGCTTAGAAAAGAACACGTCCGCCGCGGAGGCCGCAAAGCCCGCCTAGAGCAGGTCGTAGAAGTAGTCCAGGCCCTGGCCCAGCTCCCAGATGGAGACCCCAACGCCCAGCTCCCGGGCCAGCTCCAGCCGCACCTGCAGGGACTGAGCACAGATGGAGGTGTGAGTGCCTGCTGGGGCCTGTCCCCCAACACCTAGGAGTGTCCTCCAGGCCGAGGGGCAGCACTGCCTGGACCCCAGGGACCGCAGGCCAGTGCCTGCCGTGCTGTCGCATGCCCCATCTCTCCCCCGGTCCCATGGCTGGCAGCACACGCACCTTCAGGGTTGGGTAGAAGACGACGTGCCTCCCACTGCGGCTCCTGCAAGACAAGGGGACTGTCGGCCCGTCCGCCACCTCTGCTGGTTCCAGGCCTCCTCCCCTCACAGCCAAGGTCCACGGCCTGGACTCTTCCCACCCGCCAGGTGGCCACCTGCTGTCCAGCTGTGCTCCGGGGCCGGGAGCAGCAAGTCAGCTCGTGACCCTGGGACCCCCTGGCCCTGCTGCTCCCTCATCTCCACCCCCTGGGTCCTGGGATCCCCTGGGCCCTGCTGCTCCCTTGTCTCCACCCCCAGCGTCCTGGGACCCCCTGGGCCCTGCTGCTCCCTCGTCTCCACCCCCAGGGTCCCTCCCTGCACACAAGGCCGAGGCGGGCCATGCACTTCCCAACACTCACTTCTTGTACTCGAAGAAGTGCTCCGAGGCCTGGCTGTCCCACACCATCCGGGGCCTGTGGTCCTTCAGTGTCTGGATGTACCTGGGGAGACCAGGGTGTGGGTTTGGGAGCCCACCCAGCTCCCCTACCTTGTACCCCAAAGGCTGTGGCTATCAGCAGGGGCAGGGCCACTCGGGGCAGCAGGTAGAGGGAGCCACTGTCCCCAGTGGTCTGGGGGACGATGGCTGGTGGGGTGGCCAGAGCCTCAGGTCCTGTGAACCCTGTATTTGAGGAAGCACATCTTCCGGGAGCTTCCTCAGGAGAAGCCGCCCCAAGTCCTCTCAATGGCCCGGAGAGTGACACGAGGCCTGAAACTGCCTCACCCTGGGGATGGCCCTCAGGCTACACAGTGGCTGCTGGACGGGGCTCCTCACTCTGTCTAGACCCCAGGTGAGAGGCTAACCAGACAGGCCTCAGGCTGCCCTGGCCCCGCTGCTGGCCCTGGACTGATGGGCAGTGCCTCATACTGGGGATGGCTGCCTGGGGCAGTGGTTTCTGCACTTTTTTTTTTTTTTGAGACAGAGTCTCGCTTTGTCACCCAAGCTGGTGTACAGTGGTGCAATCTTGGTTCACTGCAACCTCTGCCTCCCAGGTTCAAGTGATTCTGCCTTAGCCTCCTGAGTAGCTGGGACTACAGGTACGCACCACCACGCCCGACTAATTTTTGTATTTTTTAGTAGAGACGGGTTTCACCGTATTGGCCAGGCTGGTCTGGAACTCCTGACCTCGTGATCTGTCCGCCTTGGCCTCCCGAAGTGCTGGGATTACAGGCGTGAGCCACTGCGCCCGGCCTCTGCACCCTTTCAAAGGCTAAGTCTGTCTCAGTCTTGAACCACCACCACCCCAGGCCCAGGACTGCAGCAGGCCCCCCCTGAGCACCAAGAGCCAATGGTTTGAGAACCACCCCCTCCTTCACAGAGGACAGGCTCATTCCCAAGGTGCTGGGGACACAACAGCGGTTTCCAGGTCACGGGGGACCTTGAGTGTGGGCACATCTCACACTGCACATTTGGGACCAGGGCAGGTGGTTCCAGAACACTATGGGCCACAGCCACCAGCAGCAGCGACAGATCGTTCTGGAAGCTTCTGGTCTCTGCAGACAGGAGTGTGTGCAGGTGGAGGCAGCTGACAACGGAACATGACCAGTGGCTGCTGCGTGAGAAAAGTGCCCCCCACATGCCTGGGGCTGCAGCCTCAGGGAGGAGGCCTGGAGTGGGGCCTACAGCCTGGACACCATGCGGGAGGGGAGGACAGGCAGTAGGCAGCTGCAGGGGCGCAAGGACCTGGGCTGTGTGGCATGGACATCTGCAGGACCCTAAGGGGTCATGGCTGGACACTGCAGGGTTTATCCAAGTGAGAAATGGCAGCCACAGGACCGCACCTCGAGCCACCTTCCTGCTCCTGCCCAGGAGGAATGGGATGTCTGAGGATCCTAACGGGGGAGGCTGCTGTTGTCCTGAGTGGGGCAGAGTCCCCTCGACACTGGGAGCCTCTTCCAGACTAGGGCACGTCACTTCAGAGCTGTGAGCAGGAGCAGCTGCCA